GCTATATCGAATTAGCGCATTTACTAATCACTATATTCCTCCTCGTTAGTTTCTACACAGCGACCAACAACTACATCAAGGTGCCCTTTCCTACTACCATTTCCATGTCACGACACTTCAAGCCCAGTACAACACAATAGTAATGAAGTCAGTGCGATCATCAACTGATTGTTCCTCCCCCAGCTGATAGAAGCTTCTGTACTTCATCGTCATACCGCTCATACTCCTCATCCGTCATCTTGTCCTGCAAGTCGTCCCTCTGCCGCACTACAGAGAGCTTATACTTCACTCCAGCCACAGTCACCATAACGTCAGGCTTGTCACCAGAAGAGGGTTCCTCAGCCTTCAACTCGGCCTTCACAGACCGCTGAGCCATGACCTCTTGAGCCCCTGGTAGACGCGTCACATCGAAGTGCTTCAGCTTCTCCGCCTCTCGAGCTAGCTCTTGTCGCTTTACACGTTCAAACGCCTCCTTATCGAAGGAATCCTCTGCAGGCCGCTTCTTCACTTGATCCTTATTGTGGTTCACCACTTCTATCTTAGTCGTAGTAGACTCTGTGTTGAGCCAACTCGGCGCTACCACTGCAGTCTTACCAAAAGCAGAAGATTGATTCGGCGAAGGGCCGATAGCCTGGGGCTTCCACTCTCCAGCATTGCCGAAGATCTCCTGAACGCCACTGCTAACACTAGGACCAGTATGATTCTCCATCGCCGCCTCCTCTTTGGCCCGCTCAGCCCGTATCTTCTCCAGCATAGTCTTCTTGACGACCATAGGCCGAGGAATGTACATACCCCTGAGATGCGATTTATTGCTGCTATCAGTACAGCCCTCTACTGCGTGTGTTGGGAAATTCTCATTAGTTTCTGTACAATTCCAGCCGAGTTCGTTTGTAAACATCCGAACTCAGCTGAGGCAAGGGAACACATATTCCCACACTGTCCTCTACTACCTGCATAACTCCAACCTCCGTTCAAGGCCCGACAGCTGTTGCGTGGCACGTAGTATCCTGCTCTCTACTTCTGCCTTCTTATCCTTATTATTAGTAGCGGTGAGCTCTCTATCACATATGTCGCAATGAAAGAGACCATCAGCGCCTACCAGCGAGATGGCCCGCAAGGTGTCAAACACCCGATTGCATTCTGAAGGCGACAACTATATAACCATAAGTACTATCTATAATGCCGAGAGGATATGCCTGTCAATATCAGGCATGCTGTTACTATCTAATACTCTAATACTATTCATTACAATACAATTGTGTTTCGCCCGTTTTACGTGGAGTGGTGTAATACTTTGCGAAAAACTTTGCGATATTTGCGGTATGCGGTAGTCGTGGAAAGTTTTTTCACTAGTGTTTTCCGAATTATGGGTGAAACCCCAATATATAATATACGAGAATCATAATATAGATAGCGTATAAATGACCATACATTTAAACAGTGTGGGAGAATATATACGTAGTCGGCTACATGTGTTGATGGAAACCTGAAAATTTTGAGGAAAATTCGGGAAATTTTTTGTTAGTTTCGGAATACTCGTAGCTGAATAAGTGTGTAGACTTGTATAATTAGTGAGAAAACTCCTGAGCTCAGCTGAGGGAAGCGAACAGATATTCTGATACTGCATTTAAAGCCCTGCAACTAGATATTAATAAATGATAATTTCCTAGTAAATTATATATCATTTAATCATATCTACCCATGGTTGCCTTTCATTATTACTATCACAGTTGAATTCCTCAGCCATTTGCCACCGAGCCAGCTGCTCCTGCAGTTGTCGTCGTACTTGTTGGAGTCGATATATCGAAGCGCAGATGACGTTCGGGGAGAGTCGGTACCAATTCATAGAGCTGCCAGGCTTGGCATGCCGAGAGGATTCACCCTAAGGGGCAGAGCTGAGGGCTTAGGCCTACACTACCCTAACCTGGGGGTTCTCCATCTCCACGATGTGGTCACGGCAGAGCGAGGCGTCAAGAGCTCCTCGGACTTGCTTAACAGCCAGGTTCAATCCCTGGGACATGTTATTTCACATAAGCGTTGGTATCACGGATCACCTCTGCTATCTGCTGGTCGGGATAAGCCACATTATGGTTGTGAAGTAGGAACATCACTACCATGTTCTCGACATCACCGTAGAACATGCCGCACAAACATTCTGAAAAGTGCCCATGGTGTGGTATGGAAACTCAGGAAAATGGCCTCACCAACAGCATCCTTGAAAAGAGCTGGGTTGAAGGGTGAGAACCCAGGAGGTGCCCTTGAGGACCCTGGTACCGAAACGTAGTACTTATCCGACATGTTCCGACCAACAAAAACAACAACAACAACTGAGGAGCTCACTAAAGTGGGATAATTCAATATATCGATTTCGAAACTCAGAATCGATTCTTACACGTATAGTACGATTTGAATTCCAGATTTGATAAACATCGAAACCTCTTTCGGGCAACAAGACCTCGGGCATATTTCAAACCTCTTTTTGAAGATGCATTTTTGATATCCTTACGTATAGAACCGCCAAATTTTGCCTAGAGTGCTTTCAAAATCCTCCGTGAAGACTCTCGAGAAGTGTTCTTTGAACCATCAACTCCTTCGAAATCAGGATCGAAGTACTCCATCGCTTCGTGAAATTGATACTATGAATTGCAATCGCGGACCGAGGGCGTTTCAATCAGCCGCTCCGTGTAGGTCCCGGGTTCGAATCCTGGGTACGTCAAACTTCATGAAGCCTTCTTGAATTCGTGATGGGATTTCATTTGCGCACGCGTGCAAAGGTCGGCACCACGGGCTCGATCGAGGCTGACGTGTGTGACAGAAGATGAAGCCTTCTTCTCTAGAACAAGGCTCCAATGTGATATGTGTAGCATGGTCCTTGACCTCCCATTCTCGGCCAGGAGGATCCCTTTGGTGGTGTTGCTTCTCCATGATTCCTGTCGCCGGTGAGAACTGAGGTGAACGAAGGTGAGAAGCGTTAAAATAAGGGGAGGACTAGCTGGGGCAGGAGCATCTATTGCGCTGCCTAGGATAAGTTCTCAGGAATGACACGCTGTAGGAAGCTCCTAGGTTACTCTGATATGCCTATTGCTTCATACTGTCTCCACTCCCTCCGTTTCACTTCAAGTTGTCAGTTTCACCTGATTACCACTACCACAAAACTTTGTATTTTCTCAAGGAGTGGTATGGCCATTACTGCTCGCCGGCTTGGGCGTTATGCTCCCGCAGCACATACGAGACATCTTCTATCGTTTCCCTTCACATCGCTGAAACACAAATGTCTATTATGAAGTGGAGTGCGTCAATGTCGTTGTCAGTTACAGGTGCCAAGGTTATACAGGCCTATTGTGTTCAGCATAAAGGGTGCTTCAAAACTTCGTGGACAACTTGAAGAGCCTGGAATTTCTAAACAACGTATATTTTGACAACGACACTTAGTGTGAACATCAAGCATATCACAAGCAACATTCATGGTAAAAATGAAAGTTAATCACGTCCACCACTGTGAGTCGGACCCCACAAACCACAGCGCGTTAGAGACCATGCGCACCACTCAGTTATACGAAGGTTTTCGACATCGGGGATTTCCTGAGTGGCTAGTCCTCGTTGCGGTCCGACTTTTCCTGACGAGGCGTAGTTGTGTTAGATGTCTAGGGAGGGTAGTTTACGTTACTAGGGCAGTGGTGTCATACTCCATGGATAGCAGTGGTATGGCAGCCTCCGATGGGCCCTCAACGGGGGTGAAACGTGGATTGGATCAGAGCTCTGCTAGTGGTGGTGACGAGGCTCCTAGTCTGCCGCCTGAGAAGAAGCCGGCCATAGCAGAGTTGGTGGCCCAAGCAGCTGCAGCTGCTGCTGCTGCCGCTGCGGCGAGAGTCACTTCAAGTGAGTACTTTTCCTGCCGTGTTATTATGAGATCCCGATAGGTGCCCAGCAGCAGGGGGTGATTCTGCAACCACAGGGTTCGCAGTCACCGGCCCAGCAGGGACCTCTCGCTCGTCCACCGATGCCTACTACTCCTCCGGTTCGGCTAGATATCACTCCTGGAGGTGATAATAGGGATATAGCGCGAGGTATTGTTTTTGTATAGGGGAGAATAGCGCGTCGAAGTTCTATGGTGCCATAATAGCATCATCACTTCCAGAGGAGTTTGTTCGTGAGGTGAAGTGCCCGCACTCGGTGATGGGAAGGGTGAGTGGACTGGCCCGGTGCCGTCCTTGCTTATAGAGCCCCTATTCAGATCATCGGGCCCCGTGGGGCGACCATTAACCAGCTGCAGAGCACTACACTGTGCAAGATCCAGTGCCAACCAGGGCAGCCTGGGGGCTTCGCTCGAGTGAAGATATCAGGGCGTAGGGCACACCCATGCTGGTCCGCCTACATCGCTGTGTTGTTAGCCACGCAGACCTGCGTCGATGGGGCGGTGACATATGTTCAAGCGATGGTCGGCAACTGGGATGACTACACTGATGAGCAGCTCATGCAAGCTGGTGGCAAGGAGACACGGAAGGTAGTCGAATCGGCGGTGCTCGCGGTTATTCTTCTCTGTAGGAGATCCCTCTACCCTACATCCACGTGGGCAGTGTTATCGGCCCTAAAGGGTCTGTTATCAAAACTATCGAGGCCGACACCGGGGCTAAGCTACAAGTTGGTAAGTCCGTGTGAACTCATTATCATCATCATCATCACCATCGAATGCCGCGCATCTCTATGAAGTTATTCCCATCAGGGCGATAGGGGCTGTCAGAGGTGGTCGCTGTTCGAAATTGAGCGTAGTCTTAGCTGCAGCTTCTACTGCTGAAAACCTGTGTTGGAATATCATGCAGTTGCCATTCACTTCTTCTAATTCTCCCTATGGTCGTCGTGGGGAACCCCTTTAGTCATCGCTTAGTGTTCCGCACAGTAAGTGGCTAAAGCACCAGCATTGAATAGTGACCCAAGGGCACCGTTTATGAAGCCCATCGCTCTACTCTACCGCAGATAACCGCAGTTCCCGTGGCTCCAAAGAGGATCGCATCATGACCATCTCTGGACCGGAGCATGCTGTTGAGAAGGCGGCCGAATACGTCATGTCGGTCATCGCTGGCACCTACGATATCAACCAGGCCGTGGTGAGGATGACGGCGCTGGACAACAGCTCTGGGTGAGCTCCCTTGGATGAGGGGTCGACGGCAGTGTGGGGGGGGGGGGAATATGCACATGGTCAACTACATGTTTTGGTGAGGAAATTGCAGCAGGTGTTTATTGGTTTCTGTACACTTCTACTATGTAAACTTTCATGATTAGCGAGGAAACTCCTGAACTCAGCTGAGGAGAGCGAACATATATTCCTCCAACACTCCTCGACGGATTTTGATTTCAGGGCTTATTTTAATGCTCAAGCACAGCAGTTTGGCAATATGCAGCAGCAACAGGCTTGGGCGGCCTCCCAGTATTCACACTGGCCGAACGAGCAAGCTATTGCTCAGGCGGCTTACCAGCAGGCCATGGCTGATATGGCCGCTGGGAAGATACGCCAGGCCGCTCCTCCTGCTGCTGCTGCTGGTGGCGGGACTACCTCAGCGGGTTCGACAACAGTAGCGGCACCTGTGATGGATCCCGCTACTTTGAAACAGTGGAAAGACTACATCGGGCAGTGTGACAGGGCAATAGCTGATGCCCCTCAGGAGAAGAGGAAGGAGATGAAGGACTATGTTGATAACCTCAAGAGGCAGTATGGGTTGACGGACGCTCTGCTCCGTGATGATGGTGATGAGGCTGAGGCCAAGGAGCAAGCAGCAGTAGATCGACGTCTTGCCGGTGTGGATAAGAGTACCCCTGCTGCGGTTACCGCTGAAAAACCGACGGAGTAATACGATGATATTTCTATTCTTGTGTAGTATTGTTTTCAAGAGCAAACAGCATTGTTGTGTTCCCAGTGGGATGAGCCCATAGATGGTATCATAGCCCTGCAGCTGTCGTTTATCATCAGTGACAGTCACTCACCCGACAGGGGATTTTCTCGCCGCCCACGAAGATGTGTTAGAGCCTTCTATCGTAGGAGTTGTTGCACCATATGCAAGCTGGAGCGGTCGTGGATAGCCGTCAGTACGGCTCCCATGGTGGATGTATTTGACCGAAGACTGCGTATGGTAGGAGTTGGACTACACGAGATTGGTCTCCGTCGTTCGCAGCTGTGGCGCCTCCTGAGTAGTAAATGCGAGGTGTGGATGGCGATGCTGGCCCACCAGGCCACAACGACTACACCGCTGAGAGCTGGAGGAGATTACTGGCTCCCCTGATGCAGAGCATCCTATAGTGTGCCATTTCGGTGGCCATCGATAAAACTGGCAACAGCAGCAACTGCTCGGATCTCGCACCTTCGGCTGTCCGGCTCCCCTAAGTAGCCTTGGAGCCCTGGAGTGGTAATGGTGAATGAAAAGCTCTCACGTAGTAGTAATATAACTCCCATTGACAGGCTGATGCCCGTTAGAGTAGCCCCTCTCCCCCTATGGGTCACTCGTTTTCCAGAGCATCACTGGAGCTACTGCTTGCTTTCAGATCACTTCTCGTGAGAGGTCCAATCGTGATGCGGCTACCTTGGGTCAATCGCTTGGCTCTCATGTGGGGCTCATCCGCATGCATCTCGTTTCGTGGCTATGTTCCGTCTTGGCGTTTCCAGTTGGTGCGGGTATATGTTCTCTTCAGTTTGATGCTCTCTCTCTCGCTGTGAGCCTCCTCCCCAAAATGGATGTAGGAATGGATCTACTATTCCTCCATCCGAGAGATGGTGTCACCACTCTCGGTCAGCCCATTCCCGACGTGACCGTCAATGGTAGAGACTTTTCACAGCAATGGGGACGTAGATCTCCTCTTGGTGTCACCGCGGCTATGAATGAGAACACCATAGGGCTTCTTATGATACCGATATTGGTTCTCCTCGCTGCTATGCGTTCGTCTTCTCTGAAGAAAAATAGAAAAATTACAAATTTCACGAAGTCTCAGTCTTCTAAGAAGCACATCACAGCAGTCTGTGGCAGCGTCCAGGGCGACGGTCGGTCCCTTTGCCAAGCCAGCGACCGAGAGCTAGTCCTGAGGGTCCCTGCTGGCACCGAGGAAAAGCTTCAGCTCCATAGGGATGCGACGTTTCCCAATATGTCGGTTGTGGTTGAGGAAGGAGCCAGTCTAACGCTGAGAGAGTCTGTCGATGCCGGTGGTAGAACGCAGGTGTATCTCCAGGCTGGTGCGAGATTGGTCCACACACTGCACCAAACGCGTGGTGACTGTTCGACGGTGGTTCGGCAAGATGGAGGGTCCAAGTACAATCAGACTAGACTGGTCGTACCAGACTCGGACGGAGCGACGCATACGACCGACATCGAAGTGAACGGCCCTGACTGCGTTTCCGATGTTCACTCAGTGCACGTTGTGGCGCGCGAAGGAGTCCACACGGAGTCGGACTCTAACTGTAATTTCCTCTCGACAGGGACGAAAGCTCGGCAAACCCATAGAGCAGTAAGGCAGAGAAAGAGGCACTCGTCGACTATCATCATTGCGTTTAGGTGCTGTGTGGACCAAAGAGTCGGAGCAGCTGGAAGTCCACGTTCATGGTCAACAAGATCGCACAACAGACAGATGCTAACCAGGAGTGCAAAGCCCTGCTCTTGGACCGCACTGCGAGGATGACTGCCCGCCCTGAGTTGAGGATCCAAGCTGACGACGTGAAAGTGACCCACGGCGCAGCTCTGTCGACTACGATTGACCCTAAGCAGGTTGGGGACTATTCGTTTGAGTGCTGCTCTTTTATGGTGTTGTTGTTTTCAGCTGTTCTATCTCACTTCTCGAGGAGTACCTCGTTCCCGTGCGCGATGGCTGTATGTGAACGGCTTCCTAGAAGATACCTTGACGAGGGTTGATGACCTCGAGGATCGCGAGTGGCTCCGAGAAAAAGTGGAGAAAGCCATCAATGACTTTGAGAAGTGAAAATTTCCGGCCGTGGCCCTCGGAGACTTTTTGTTGTCAATAAATGTCATCCGCGGCCCTCTACTTATGCGCCTACAACACGGCGAGATTCGTCCAAATGTGATTGTGTTGCAATTCGCGCGCTATCATTTCCAGTGGTGTCTCGTCCCATCCAAACTCGTGCGAAAGCCTCTTCCATTCGATAGAGCTCAGGGCGCAGTCGCCTTCAAAGCGGTGTAGCTTCCACAACTCGGTTTGGAACTTGACATTGTCGATTTTGTATAGGAGAAAAGTGCGCGGGTTTCTCGACCAGTCCACTGAGCTTGTAACGGAGTGAACGAAAACGTAGAGATCGTCGCTCCCTTTATACAAAACTGTCGAGAACTGATCTAGATCATTGAAACCATTGGAAAGCTCTACGAGTTTCTAATCTTATGGGCTTCATACCCCTCTCCCTATATACATACTAAATGAATCAGATCAGCTCTGGTCAATTTTCTCGACGGGACTTTATGGAAATCATTCGCTGCTCGTGGTGCAGAGTATTCCTCCTACTCATCCGAGCTTTGCACTGGCCTGGCACTTAATTAGTACAGAATCTTCTCTCAATTATGGACGGCCATGTCATCTTGTATATCACTGCCTTGCTAGCATCGTCATGTGGAGCCTCTGTCAGTCTGAGACGTGTGGTCTCCAGGGACCCGCCTAGGGTAACAATGAACTTCTACGATCCCAATACGGCGTCCGAGGTACAGTTATCAAGTCGTTTACGTTTATACTCTGTTTTTACGATAAATCGTTCGCAATGGTTGTCTTGTTGCAAGCTCTTGCATTTTGCAGACTGTTATGGGTTATCGTGAGGGCTCAGAAAGCGAGGACCTCCATGTTACTGACGTGGCGCAGATAACGCGTATAAGGTGACGGTGAGCAGTAGGACCGTCCCACACTTTCGTTTTCTCAGAGAAGATAATTACACCGAATTCTCTGTACTGGCTGATGAAATCATGTTGGGAGAACCCCGTCATAAATCGATTGAAGGTCTCCCAGGAGCGACACCGGGGAGTCCATCTTCACTGAAGTTTCATCTTATGAGCCGCTTAAGCTCCCAAATTCTACACGAATACGACGAGAATGTCGAGAAAGGGAGCGTTCTGTACTGTGCGCGGCAGGCATTGGATGAAAGATATGATGAATTCGGAAGAAACGAGGTTCGAGTACGGGAAGTCTGACCCGCGCCTATGTGTTGGCTCTTCAGCTGGTAGTCCGCTACACAATTTACCTCAGCAGACAAAGCCCAGAACAGCCGTACCAGCTGAAGGCTCTGAAGGCGGAATTAGCTACGCTTGAGGACAAGTAAGTCAAACGATGCAACACCTGTCCTGACCGCCTACCAAGCAATGTTTGTTCCTCTCCAGAGTTGTCAAGCCAAAATTCAATGCAGAGAAGTTGCATGAGTTGGTTTCCAATAGCGAGATAGCTACTCCTCGTATGAAAGAGAGCCCCTCTGAAATATGCAGTAGACAGGTGGAGTTCTATAGCAACTACATCTCACCATTTGGAGGGGCTGTTGTCCCTGACGTCTGGCCCTACCCAGTTGAGTCGAGCTCCTACCCGTTGACAACTGGACAGCGGGCTGTTAATATTTTCCACTGGCTCACTGATGGTACCATGAAAGTGGCGTGATCGCGCTTGGAGTATGCAGTCATTCGGCATCGGTAAGTTTATCGTGTTTGGTTACTCGTGTGTGATCATAGTTGTTCATAAGATGTTGACCGATATTGCTGTATTAAATAACGAGTTGTTGGTATTGTGTTCGTGTGTAGTGTGAGCCCCATGCCGGCAACTGGATGATTCACAGTGGTTGAGCTAGCTACATCGTAACTTCCCTTGCTTCTGTCTTGAGTACGGTATGCTTGCGAATCGTGATCCTCTGGTCACAGACCGGCCGACAATTGCGGCCCACTACTTCCCAGGCAAGTTTAACAAGTGAACACATAAGAATGACAATGAGTATCCAAGCTCGACACCCTAAGAATGACAATGCCCACTTCAAGATTGACACGTTGCGGAAATATAACATCTCACGGACCTCAGAATGGGCGGAGTTCGACTAACATCGGTGGAGGGTGTGTTGAAGCACTTTCCGTTGCTTCCTGTCACACTTGAACATATACTGCCGAACTTGCTTGTTCGTCGTCAAACGTGATGACAGAGGTGGCTCGTCAGAGATATTCTGTCGTTTACACCCCAACGTTCTCTTTTGTAACTCAACAACAACAATTCGTGATGAGAGAACACCTTACTGGCCGTTGGAAGCTTCCTTCGGCTGATGCACATGGACGAAAGTCGGGAATGTTCTTTGGTGGTAGTCGTCGAGGACAGCTCGCAACCTAACAGAAGTATATACCAACTATCGCCATTCTGACAATGCACTTCTGTATTTCTCTCGCTTGGATGCGTGCCATGTCCATTTGCTCCCGGTGGACTCTACTCTCGGCAAATCGAGCATGGGCTTCTTTAATCTCTCTATAATTCTCCTCGATACGGCCTCCACCTCCAATGGGGATGCGCTTCTCTCCAGGGCGATACCTGCCCAGCACATGTGATGAGAGCGGACCGAAGATCGCATTCTTACACTGTACTGCTTTCAGCACTCTCGCTGTTGCGCGAGTCTCCGAGATCTCTGATCTCCTCGCGTTCTGCTACTACTTCACGAAGATCGTCAAGCTTCCGTTCGAATTTCTAAGGCGAATGTAGGCGCCTCGAAGCAGAGTAGACAGATAGGTTACCGCATTTTCCCTACGCCTCGCCTCACTTCTCTTCTTCGCGAGCTCCAACTGAAAATCATGAGACGTTCGAATGGACCGCATTCGCTTCTGCTGGTATAAGTGAACTAGAATATCATCTTGTGAACTTCCACGAATATTAACTCCATAGGCCCGAATGCATCAGCCAGACCTGATTGCTTTGGACAGCTCACCTCCTTAGCCAGTGCTGCTTCCTTATCCATACCACTCTTCTCAATTCTTTCTATAAGTTTCCTCATGGCGATCTCCACTTCCTTTCCTCCCTGCCTTTCGCTCGGCTTCTTGTTCGATTCTGCACAATCAGACTGCTTCGCACTGAAGGGCGATGAGGCCACCGCTACCCGAGAGAGCTGTCCTGAGGTCCTTGGTAACCCGCATCATTTGAATGTCTCTGGAGTGCTCCTCGAGGTCCTGAAGGGCAGAGGCCAATACGTGCATCTTTCCCCATCAAATCACCTCTTTCTCCAACTTGAGCACCGCTTGTTCCCATTCCACTTGCTTCAGTTTCTTCCGGAATTCCTTAATTTTATGCAAAACTGCCAACTTCTCCTCAGCAAGTGTCATGATGTGCCTGAGCTCGGCAACTGCTGAGCCTCCTAAGTAGTCCCACCTGTTGCGTGTTTCAATCGTCTCCTCCGCTGGTACAATAATAGCATCGGTGCAATCCGTAACAACCGGACCCTCTGGCATGTTGATCAGTCCCTAGGCCACCCCCCGAATGGTGAGTATGACAACGATAGTGCCCCTCTCCCACCTGTTTGATCATCATAATAACCGCAGCGTCAAACTTCTCCTCGAGCATGCCCCTCTTGCGGCACTCCAGCTGCTCCAAAAGAGCCTTCTCATCCGAGAGAGCTTTCTCCCATCTACCAGAGGCACCCATGAGGCCCCTCAGCTAGCGGCCGCTACTACCGTTGTCGGTGGTGCCACAGACGCCTATTGGCAATATCGATCAAGGCATTCATCCGCCGTACGTCGAGGTCCAGTCGGCATCTACGTAACAGATCGACCCTCGAAGGAAACAATGGAAACGTCTCATGCCTTTCCTGGCGAAGTTTAATAGCACGATCGAAGAGCTCCTCCTCGATCTCCTCTGGGCAATCCTCTGCATACTTGAAAGTAGCAATCTGAGAAGTGGACCGCTGCTCTCATGTGCCGGTCTGAGTACTACATCGTCGATGCTTGGCGTTTGGAGTTCATAGTCGTCCATAGTATCCACGTAGTAGTAGGAGGATGATGCTAAACACGACTAGAGCTCACGCTTAGGGGTGGATACTACCTTCACTGACCGCTGGTACACTGCCGGCCAGTACGCGAGAGGGTTGCCGAGTGAATAGATTGTGGGACATCTGGAAGGGAAACCATTGGGACACCAAGGCGTGCAGCAGCTTACATGGGCCCTTCCGTGGGCTTTCCTGTTACTACCATCCTAAACGAGTAATGGTGCCCTGTTGCCTTCTGAGGTCCTGCTTACTTTACTGCCGTCCTCACCAGGTAGTGTCGTCCGGAAGAGCACCAAGAGCTGGTTGAAGGCTTCAGTGTCGATGCCTATGTACACAACTCGTGCTCCCATAGAGGGGCCTCCCTACCCGTCTTGGCTGTGGAGAACTGTTGCTTGAATGAGGACACCTTAACCAGAGGGTAACGACATCGCATAGATGGTCACGAGCAAACCTACACAGTCCCGCTCCTGTCTGACGATCTCATCCGCCTCCCGTTCAAGCTCACGAACCACCAGGCTGAAATCATCAAACTCAGCTCGGCATTCAGCGACCTGACTCAAAGAGTCGCGACCTCCGCAGTGAGAATAGAAGGTGGACCTTTTTCCGGACTTCGGCGATTTTCAAGTTGAGCTTCTCCACTGCTGATTTGTCCTCCACAGACTGCCGTAACGCTAACCTATTCTGGAGGACCAGGAGCTCCTGGGTGTGGCTGAAATGATGAGGGAGTACCCCCACGGGCCCACGGAATGCCTTACATCTTCAAGTCGGTCTCTACCCTAGCCCGATAGAGCTTCTTCAGAAGGCCATCATCAAAGGCAGCCACCTCCTTTTTAATCTCAGCTTTCAGCTGACCGAGCTCCTCTGCCAGTCTCGTCCGATAAGCCTCCTGGAGCCACACAGTATATGTAGTACCGCTGGCGGCGCCCTCTCACTTGCTCCTCAGCTAGAGTCTTCTCTCTGGCGAGTTGCTCGGTGAATGCGGCCTGAACGAGCGCACTAGTCTCGATTAGCCAGTAGAGGATGGTGTCACCACCTTTTGGTCCTCATCCATCTCTTCTTCTGGTACTGTGTCCATCCACTCCTCCCTCTCCAGTCGGATCTATGGTCGATGTGCCCTCTACCCCAGCCCCTAGTAGCAGTACCTCTAGCGGGCTGAGGTCCTTCTTGGTCCTCAGCGTGCCTCCCATCATAGTAATCAGCGCCTTCTGCCGACCACCATCGTCCTCCTGCAGCTTCCGAAGGCGTTCAGCCTCCGCGGCGGCCTCAGCATCCTGTTGAGGGCCACCAAAACCTTGCGGCACTTCACCCCAGACCATGCCCACCAGTCTCGCGCGCTCCTCCTTGCTGATCCACTTCTCAGCACGAATTTCCCTGTCCAGGACCTCGAGGACAGACTCGGGGTTCTGAAGCGTTAAAAACGTCACTGCGCCACGAAACTCCCGCAAGTAACAACAGAGCGCCCATCACCTCATCGGTCTCGAGGTGCCGAGCTGCGGGATCCATCGGAGGGTCCTCATCCGACTTCAGCTCCTTGAGGATGGCGTCAATGCGGTGAACTTGTTCCGATATGTGCTACAACGTTCAAGGAAAACATCACCCTCTGCTGGCCCACCGAGGCTACCTCGACCGCTTTAGCCCTTTTGTCCTTCACTTCTTCGAATGCCTTATTGAAGGCCCTCTTGTATTCCATGGACACCTCCTCTAGCAGACTGGCCTGTATCCTGCCACACTAGGACGGTGCCGATCGAGGAACCGGCTTTAGTAAACATACTAGAGTAGTAGGAGCTTACCAACTACATGCTAATTTCGCTCGGGCGCTCGCTGTTGTTCGGTCATATGTCAATACCCCGATAGTACCTCTTGCGTGGACTGCTGACGACCTCCATCGGGTGATATAGGAAATCAACACAGGTTGTATTCAAGGCCGGGAAGCAGGGAAGGGCAAGGCCAGGGTCCTTAGAGAGAGACCCGCCGGCTGAGCTCGCTGTCTTCTCCATCACTGAAGTGTCAGCAACTGAAACCACTGCTGGAAAGAAGCTCTCGGCTCACCGCCTTGTGAATCTGTTGGCTTCCTGGTCTCTTCAACTGCCCCAGTGGACTCCGCAGTACCTAAACGACGACCTTGCTAAGACAGCAGGTAGATGGAGTCGTACCGGAGGGGGGCTGTGGACGCTCCCAGCGGCACTTCCCCCAGTTGACGAGGTAGTCCTCCTGGCCGCTACACACGCGGATGGGGTTGAGGGCATCTTCCTCGACGAGGAGTGAACATCCAGCGAGCCAAATCGACTCCCGAGCCTGGACGTCCCGAAGGACCTGAGCCCACATGCTGTCACCATCACCACCCAAACTGGGCAGTGCTACCCGAAGCTTCCTCAGCAGAGGATTGCCGCTGTCCGGTGCAGACGTGGATGAGCGGAAGGGGTAGTTGGCCACCCTCAGAGCCTTGCCCTCCTCAATGCAGTGTAACTGGGCCATGTGCACTTCCATCGGCTCCCAGAACTCCTTCACAAGTTTCTCTCGAAAGATCGCCCTGGCCGCTATCTCCTCCTACGACGACCGACACACCTGTTACACCCGTGGATGGTCAATTGCTCACCTTTAATTTTTCCCTCAGCTCATGTGACTTGCGTTCGCATTCCAGAGCTACCTCCTCACGCGCCTCGAAGTCAACACAAAATTCGTCCCTTTGAAGTCTTTCCTCCTCCGGCCCGGATTGATTTTTTTCGACGATCGACTTCAACCTCTCCCGCAGCTGAGCCATCTTAGCCTGTACCTCGTGAACTAGTTGGACCCGCTGGGCCTCTCGACCGTCCAAGCTCCTTCGGACCGCAACGGCCTCCTCCATTCGCCTCCCATGGCCCCCAATGCTCCACACCTCCAGCTCATCATCGTTCACGACTCCAGCCTGCTGCACTCCTGTCGGTGATGCGTCCCTTGGGACCATCGCCATCTTCGTGAAGCAAACGGAGGAGGAAACTGTGGTCCCAGGCTTTTCGGGTAGGTGCCAAAGGGCCATCCCAAACCTTCCTCGACCGGATGCAACCCTTGGACCAGAAACAGCAACTGCCGTGACCCCACCGCGTTTGATATGAAGATCCTCCACAGTAGAGGTGTGGCCGTTAGCGAGGGAGAGGACGTGAACGGAACCATCAGAGGTTGCTGCTACCACGAAAACGCCCTTGTCGCCGTCCATGGACAGCCTACTGATAGGCCTATCGCCATGATATAGTACCCTCACTAGAGGGAGCTCACCGAGGTTGGAGGACAGCTCCGAGGGTAGGGAATACAGGGCTACTTCCCCGACGACGTTACTAGCGATTAGACCCAGGTTACAAGAGACCATGGCCCTGACCTTGGACGCACTAGGAAGCTGATGCGTTGCCACTGTAATCCCACTCGGGTCGAGGAGACCATCCATCATCCTATCGATCGTGAATGAGACTGTGAGAACCGCTGTACCATGATCACCAGTTACCGCGAGGGCCAGTCTGTGATCACACCAACAGGCTGCCGATACCTCCCGGCCCCCTAGGGCGGCGGCAAAGACTTCGATACGGTTGAGGTGGGAGACTACAGTAAGGAGGCCGGTCTTCTCGCGAACAGTGAGGAGGAATACGTCGCCATTACCAAGTCGGGCATAACACACTTCTCGGCCACATGGCAACTTCGTAAGGCCCACATCGACCACTGGCGCCTCCTGACTAAGTTTGACAGCGGAGCTCTCGAGGCCTCTAGAGGCACTCAGGACCGCTGAAGTGCCACCGCCGAGGTCCACGGTCTGGACAACGCCATTTTCGCTCCCTGCCACTACCAAACGACAGGTTGCCGACACAGCAAGACAATTTATGGGCGCGTGACTGGTTTGGAGATACATAGTCCGTGGCAGATCATCGAGCTCACTAGGACTAGGCCCAACGACGCGAACAGCCCCACTGGAAGTCGCAACAAGAAAGGTAGGGCTCTCTGTGTGGCCACACAGGACCTTTATATCAGTGATACAGTCTAGAGCCCCGCAAAAAGTAGAACCCTGGTAAGCCAAGGGAAGCGGACAGGCCTGATCCCCCACCTCTAGGGCGCCACTGTCGGTACAGTCCTTTAACGTGTCGACTTCCTCGGTTGTCATATTAGCGGACCAGAGGTGACCACCCTGGGTGCAAACCCAAAGTGTCTGCCCTTGGGGCGACGACACGGCCCATTTCAATTGACCCTGCTGCTCCTCGGTGAGCTCCGACAAAACAAATGACTTCACCAGCACCAGCGGATCACCCAGAGAGGTCCCCTTATAGTGCGAAATGGCCTGTATCTCAAAGTGGTCGGCACTGATCGGCTCAGATATGTGGCCCTTGTCGAAGGCCCATGAGCTGACTCGGCGTTTCATGTGGACAGTGATTAGAGTCTCATGCCCACGGAAGAACATATGCCGTATGGGGCCGAGGTCCGCCATGTCAGTGACGGAGTGCACCGAGATGAGCTGCTCATACCTTCCTATGAGCCGTTGACGTTCTTCTTTGGTCGGCGGTGCCTTGGACTGCTCGATGGAAAGGCACAGCAAAAGGCCCGTCGACGTGGCCACTAGCAGATGGCCCTGGGAACAGAGGGACCCTCGAGGAAGAAGGGCCCAGGTGACTCACTGAGGAGCACCAGGTAGCAGCTGACAGGGTCCATGCTATGCTTCCTTGATGGGCGGCCACAATAGCAGACACAGTGTCGCTTGCATACTGGCTTACTAGAAAGGTTTGGTATCTGCAGATGCGCTGACCACCGAGGCATACCACTCTGTTGGTGTCAGTGGACCTACATTTTCTCGAACGAGACGATGAGTACTTCCTGTTCCCCTACAACAGCCAGAAGGTCCTTGTGCCTGACCAGTAGACCTTCCGGGACCAACACGATGATGCAGAGGCTCACTCGGGGAATGGCAGCAGTCGTGAGAACCTCTGCGTCGGGTATGCAGAGGGTAGCTGGACCCACTCAAGACCAGGAAGGGCCTATCATGATGCATGGGCAGCCCAGTAGTAGCCCTCAAGGGTACCTTGCAGGTATCAGTACCATAGACTGCCAAGTACTGCTCTTCTGGACCGCCGACCATCACGAAGACCCTCGTACAGCATGGGGACATTGCCACAGCAGCAGGGCCCTTGCAACTCTCACCGACCGGTACCGTGATTTCGGTTGCTATGCCGAGACCCTCAGCTTCTACCGGATAGATCAAGACCTGGTTGAAACAGGAAACGATGGGGCGCATATGAAGCCTCACCTTGACAGCGCCATCACAGGCCTCAGTGGACAGGACCAACTGTCCCTGGCCAGAGCTGTAGAGCTGCTGTGAGCCCTCCTGCTCCAGTGGCATACGACAATACTTGCATTCGTCGGTGTCAGTGTCCCACACGCACAGGACCTTCCCGACACAGTAGGCCAATGTAGCCTCTTCGATGAAAACAGGGGGGTCTGCTCCTCCGACCATAGAGTCGATCTTCAGAGGCTCACCAGATGCTGGGGTTGTCATGGTGCTGAGAGTAATGACTGTCTCTTGTGGGAGTAGTTGTTAGAATATTTGTTCGCTTTGCTCAGCTGAGCTCAAGAGTTTACTCGCTACCTATACAAGTTCACACACCAATGCGAATGAAATTGTACAGAGACCAACAAGAATATCCCAAAATTCTATCAGAATTTTCACATTGTCACCAACGCATGTAGTTGATCATGTGCATATTCTCCCACCCTGGCCACACAAGACTCCCATATGCATCCTAAGAGGCCACTCAGTGCATTTACAAACCAACAAGTAGCGTATCACACGAGAAACTTCACTTGGCGGGAGTCACTGCTGGCAAGAGACTACCCCGCCGGACTCGACCAGGCGGTTCGACAACTTTCAGACGATCCAGGACGAAGCTGCGGAGCTCCTCCTCCTCCATTTGGTCTATGCCCAAGTCCGGATGCTCCATCGAGTTGCGAGCCATGGACAGGTAGAGGGCCATCTCGAACACCTCCGCTGTCATCTTGGCCGACCCGCAGCACTCGAACTCGAATGCGTACCGGCATGTACCTACAACAGGTACCTAAAGGGCCGGGGGGAAAGCGCTGCTTACTCTCCTCATCGGTCCACATAAAGCACAATGAGCGCTCGAGAACATCGTCATTGGTGTTGTCGGTGGTGGCCAGCAAGGATAGGGCTCCCGAGGAGACATCTGGGAGTCTTATCCGAAAGTCATGGAGACCTTCCTCAGTGAGGACCTGTATCGCACATTCCTCAGCCGCTTCCTTCGGTACCATTAACCCACCACTTGTATCGTCTCGGCGACGTCGCTGGGCTCACTGGCGTCCTCTATCGGAGCAAGGGTCAGAGTAGCGAGGACCTCCTCCTCCTTACCACTCAGTGCTAGCCTAGCCGAACAGAAAAACTGCGGCTCCAACAGCAGCTTGTGCCTGAGTAAACATGGGGAGATACCGGTTGCGCCTCCTGCCTCACTTAGTCGCTGTCGAGGCTCCTGGACGCCACTTCCATAGCTGGCCAGTGGCCAGAAGTATCCCACGGCTCGAGGTCCGGCCCATGTCCAGTTGCCTCATCATAGTGAGAGCCTCTGAGAACCTGACAGACTCCAGTTTTCTCTACTTGCAGTAGTGTGAGAGTACGCAAGGTTGTCAAAGTCCCAACGGCCTATGATGGTCTCCATCCCTTCTGTGACCGGAAGTGCAGCACGGACCGCGGTGAGGCCAAGGGTCAACATCTGCGCTGCCAGGGAGACCTACTACCGCACAGTCCCCTTAGGAAGGTACCTTATGCTGCTGCTTACATCTGCTATGACATCCCTCAAACGCCGAGCCTGCTCCTCAGCTCCAATGACACCAACACCGACCTCCTCCTTAGGGGAGGCATCCTTGGCGCCGTCATCGGTACTCTCGAGCGACTGAGGGGACATGGTTGGTGAATGGGCAGGCTGGTCGGACTACTACCATGATAGTGTCGATGAGTTCCTCAGCCTCACGTACAGCCTGACGTGCCAACCCTACAGAGGCGCTCACAGCTTCACTGGTAGGCATCCTCGTATGCAGCAACTGGAATAAGGAGTAGAGGGAATCGATACCACACTTTTGGTCCAACCTGTGCGAGCCGTAGCGGAGCCTGTAGGCACTGTAAAGCAGCAGCCAGCTTCTCCACACTAACCGCTATCTCCTTAGTGGCCAACGTGTGCAGCTCCTTCGCCTTAGCGTAGCATGTGTGGACTGTCTGGACGGCTTTGAAGCCCGACACAGCGAGTGAGAACAAATCCATAGGAGAGGGAAGGAACCGACTGACATCCCTCAGACAGGCCAAAACCCAAGGTCTCGACCGAGGCAATCTAAGCATGCATCAATTCTTCACAATTCGTTAACGCTGGTTTTGAATGGGGACCAAGACGTCAGCCTAGATGAGAAGGGCCCGAGGGAGGCCCATGTCTCAGGCAAGGTTACCACCACGAGGAGGGCAGACAACTGCAGCGGATAGACATCAAATGGTACCAAGGCGCGTATTCCTCTCTCACCATCATGAAGATAGCAATGGACATGGTCACTATCAAGTAGTTGATCGCTGTCCTTCTGGCTCCTGAGGATGGACACGACTATACGACAGACCCGCCCCAAGGGATACTACTGGGATCGGCTTGGACCTCCTCAAGGGCAGCATCACCTCCACTGAGGTCCTACAGTCCAATGGTGCCGCCATTAAGTTTGAAGCCCCTCACCTTGCGTTCCCTCAAGCGAGCACTTCGTCTCACAGCGAGAGGCTCAGGGCTCTCCTTCCCTGATGTAGTAGTAGTAGCGAAGAGTACCCCAGTGACAGCGATGAAGGCCATGGCACTAGACAGGGCCCATGGGACCCAGGACATGGTGCGTAGCTGAACGATGGCCGGGAAGATATCCATCTGGAATCAACACTAAATTCCAAGAGGAACCTCACCATTGATATGTGCTCAACGGAAGAGGAGCGATGCAAACGTTGATAGTAGTATTACATTGTCAGGAGTAGTAGTAGTAGTAGTAGTAGTAGTAGTAGTAGTAGTAGTAGTAGGTGATGACAGTTATGATACGTACAAGTACATGCCTCCTCAAAATACTGTATTGTGACGACGGAGTCCGCCAAGGCCATGGGACCGAGCCGCAGCGGTGTGACTGGTGTTGCCTCGTCTCGAGCCCTCCAAGGGGGGAGGGGGAGGGATCCTAGAGGGTGGCCTCTTGCTGTTGTTAGTATATACATGCAATTGAGCAGTGGGCCCAGGCCCACTAGGGTTACTTGCATTAACCGACACTTGGAAGTGTTGCTTGTGGAATAGAATGTCATTACCCCTCCGGCCCTGTGATGATACCGCACATTCAACCCATCCATCATCGGTAGTAGACCCTTGGGCACTAACAAGACCCTGCTCAATAGGAGTAGTACCGGGGGCCGAGGCCACGACTCGATAGGAGCTCACTGCCCTCCTATTGACGTCGGCAGGTGGTCGCCATTGGACTATCAACACTTCACCTTCCATTCGATAAGTCAATTGTTGGACTCTTCCTGGAGGGGCAGCAGTAGCCGCCCCTTTCTCGAGTAACTTGATAACCTCTTGGGCCGCAGAGTTCATCCGTTGGAAGGCCTCACCAGCCCTACCCCTCAGGTGAGGCTCATTGGCGGTCTTATCAGGATGGACTACTTTACTAAGGGCCCGGAGCTTCTTCTTCACCTCCCCAACACTACTCGGTGGCCTCGTCAAGCCGAGTATCTGCATCGGCCCCGCAGACTGGGGTAACCTCTCTATCCTCTCCAACTCCACCATCAACTGGGACTTCAACACAGCCTTCGGTTGCTGTGACAGCACGGCCGCCGCCTGGCTAAGCCGTAACGACCTACGAGGAGGGCGGACTTCCTGTCGCTGGCTCGAGGCAGCCGGCGAGCCCTTAGCCGAGGTCGACTGCTTCCTTCGGGAAGTAGCAGCCTGCCGAGCCTCCCTTACCATCTCCACCAATTCCGACTTCTCGACACACCGAGAGAAGTCGATGCCTTCCCTAGCCAGCTCCTCCTTGAGCATCTTGATGCTCATCCTAGCAACACTGCTGCCTGTAGAGCCCCGAGGGGCAGGGGGCGGACCAGGAGAAGGGGAAGGCCGCCTGTCATGTCCACGACCAGACTTGGGCCTCTTCCGTGGTGAAGAGAGGCGTTGTTGCGAGCCACTCCCTCTGAGTGATCTTTTACCACTACTTGGTGCGGCGAGCCTCCTCCTAGTCGGTGGCGAGGCTGTTGGCGACGGCTTGGGCAGGTCACTTTCCCTCACAGATCTCTTCCTCGATGAAGCCGTGGGCGGTACCCGGCGCCTCGCTTTAGGGGAGAGCTCTGGGGTTGGCTGTGGTGCCAGGCTGCCGCGACGTGACCTCTTACCACCAGTAGAGGGAAGGACCCGCCGCCTGACCGCTGGCGAGCCCACAGGAGTACGGGTGTCCTGTATCCCCATCGACTTACGGCCACACTTCTTTCCGGAAGTGCTCGCCGCGATCTTCACAGGATTCTTCCGCGCCTTCAAGGCAACAGACCTCCTGAGCTTCCTCGGTCGTGGGCCGGATGCCGGCCCAGCCTCCCCCTCACGTTGCCCATCCTCTACAGAGTCCCTCCGCCTCTTGACGGGCTTCAGTACCAGTCGACCAACACTGGGAATGACAGGTTGACTATGGCAGCGGCTTAGGCCTCGTAGCCGTGGGATCTGCAGCAGTGTCGTCGAGTGATCCAAGGGAGAGAGCCGTGCGCTCCTCCTCCGTCGAGTAGTTGGAGGGGACGGGCTGATATCCATTGGAACTGGCGTTTGCCTCCCCGAACTGCGGCGGACATAGCCGGACATAGCACCAGTCGTTGATCAAACACTGAGAGGCGAGAGCCCTAGCAGAACCCAGTGGTTTGGGCCCGTAAGCAACGCCCCCAAAACCACGGTCGAGGAGGAGGAAGAAGAGAACCCCCCAAGGGACCCAAGGGAGTAACCCAACACTCTGCATTCGAGACACATAGGAGAGATCGAAACTTCATAGAGCACAAAGAGGTGGGTGAATACATGCAGCACTCGGAGGTCATTAATTCCTAAGTAGTCACGAGAAGTCTCTACAGGGGCGGGATAGGAGGAACCCTAACTTCAGACTTAACACTGACAGGTGGTCAGTGGTCAGATGGGAGGGCGATAGACCTGCTGTGAGGCCACTAGATGGGGATATCCAAAAGGAACCAGTGGCTGACGGACATAGGACCCCTGGGCCCTCGAAAGGGGTTGGGACAGCAGTGTAGACGACGTTATCATGGGACCGAGTGGTGGTCTAGGACGCACCAGAGGCTGCTGCTGACCATAGCTCATCCGTATCGAAGGAGAGGACAAGCGGACCACTCTCGGTGGTCTGAAGGAGGGCACCAAAGCGCGAGGACCGGTTGGATGGCCACCAGGCCCACCTCGACGGAGGTAGAGGGTTGCTCCTATAGACTTCTGCGTCCCCTCTACGATATGTGTTGGTGATCCTGATGTGGAATATCAAGACCAAGACGTGAGGTGCCCCACCTAATGATCCGACCCTGCCGAGGCTCACCAGATGGCAGGACCACCGGCTCAGCCACTGGCGTTGTCTGGACCCAGCTGTCCCGAGTGACACGAGGGCAGCATAGCTGCAGGGGCTCTAAACGTCGCTCACTATTCTCCTCTGTCTGGCAGGCTCGGTCCACAACAGTCACGTAACTATAATAGAACCTCACCGAGCTCCATGGGCGATCTAGTTTACCCACTCTCTACTACAGCGGCGGGGCACGAGGGCTGACCACTGAGGCCGCCGGCAGCACCCAAGGGTATCATCCACTGGGGATCATGGTCTCCCGGACTATAGTCTTGGGACTCGTCCTGAGTGTCATACCCAAGTGGGCTGTAAGAGGACTCCCCAGTCGGCAGGCGGCGGAAGGTCTCCCTCGGCAAGGATGGGAACGGAGGCCGTACCACGCCCAGCGGCGAGAGACGAGGCAAGTTGGGATCCGCAACCTACCGCGCCGAACTGCCATTACTACTATTACTATTACTACTACTACCTCCATGTGGGACTCTTGGGCCATGCTCGCACTTGACACCAGAGCTACTCCACTGGGGGTCGACGCCGTAGTAGCTGATCAAAGCTAGACGGCTATTTAAAGCCGAGGAGGACTACCAGGCGTTCGCCAATGGTCCTTCGACTGTGGGAAGTGCTTCAGATCCGCGTTCGGGGGCCTCTCCGGAGTCCAAGGCATGCTGCTATAGGAGAGTGGGATGCTCATGTGATCAGCCCTCCCGACAGTGGCTCGACGACAGACCCCAACTTCTGGCTTATCAGATATAGGGGACACGGACTCAGTGGTCGAGGACGGTTGTCTTCCCCCAACTCGATCTTCCTCTTCCGACTACAGCAGACCCATTCCACAAGCAGGCATCGGTCAGGTACCTCTGTCGAAGGGTTATAGAAGCCATCAGGTCCTTGGGAGGAGGAGTGGGTACTACGCTCCTTCTGTCTCGAGACCTCAGCCATCTTCCCGATGGTGAGCCTCCTCGGGGTCTGGGACCTTCTCGAAGGGCGGCCGATGATGGGCATAAGAGTGTGGACTGCAGCAAGGCATGATAGCCCAACCCACCAACACGAGGCCGTGGTACTCATACGATCATGTTACATTCGGGGCGCGTCCGTACTGTCTGCCTCCCCCAGGCTTCGCCGCGCTACAGCGTGTTGGTCTTTCCTCACTGTTGAAGGGAGCAACAAAGGGAGGGAGTTCTCCTCCGCTACGATCAAGCATATACGAGGTTATGTCCTCAAACACACGGACGGAGAGGGCGCAGGTATACATGCAATTGAGCAGTAGGCCCAGGCCCACTAGGGTTACTTGCATTAACCGACACTTGGAAGTGTTGCTTGTGGAATAGAATGTCATTACCCCTCCGGCCCTGTGATGATACCGCACATTCAACCCATCCATCATCGGTAGTAGACCCTTGGGCACTAACAAGACCCTGCTCAATAGGAGTAGTACCGGGGGCCGAGGCCACGACTCGATAGGAGCTCACTGCCCTCCTATTGACGTCGGCAGGTGGTCGCCATTGGACTATCAACACTTCACCTTCCATTCGGTAAGTCAGTTGTTGGACTCTTCCTGGAGGGGCAGCAGTAGCCGCCCCTTTCTCGAGTAACTTGATAACCTCTTGGGCTGCAGAGTTCATCCGTTGGAAGGCCTCACCAGCCCTACCCCTCAGGTGAGGCTCATTGGCGGTCTTATCAGGATGGACTACTTTACTAAGGGCCCGGAGCTTCTTCTTCACCTCCCCAACACTACTCGGTGGCCTCGTCAAGCCGAGTATCTGCATCGGCCCCGCAGACTGGGGTAACCTCTCTATCCTCTCCAACTCCACCATCAACTGGGACTTTTCTTCCCGTACTCTACCCCTTGGGATCAATCGATTCGACCAACCCTCAGGCTCGACCATCCGCCTCTTCTTCCCAGAGGCCCCATTACCATCCCCACCAGTAGCATCCCTCTTCCCCATCGGAGAGCCCAACCGTCTCCTCACCATGGGAGGCATTCTGGATGGCGAACCCATGGGGCCGCTAGCTCTTTTTCTTTTCCTTTCCACCCTTCGCTCCTCTAACCCCAGCCTCCTCAGCACCTTCGCCGGCCTGGACTCAGTCAACAAGGACTCTCGTGGTCTCTTGCCTCCGCCCAGCAGCTCCTCCATCGTGTCGTCCTCTATCCAGAACCAGGCGTACGCCGACCCACTAGGAGACCCTTCCACCGCGCCAGGTATGGGAGAACTCGGAGACATTCGATCAACGCTGATAGCAGTCACAAGGGGTCCTGACAAGTCTGGAATGTTATGATTTAATTTACTACTGCCACAAACACGTCGCTGCTATCGAAACAAGACTCTCAGTCAACTCTCCCAATACAGTAGGAGACGACGAGGGAGCATCAGAGGGGACCAAGACTAACGAAAGGACTCGGAGCATGCCCTATCCCTCCCGAATAACACAACCCAGGACCTGAGACGATACTTGATACAGTGTAGTTTGACGAAGTTCGATCATCGTTGGTGTTGTTGTGGTATGTGTCAATCTCAGAGGCCGGTGTCCCACTTGTCCTCTGATACAACGACTGCCACCTGAAGGAATCCGCCATTTCCAAGAGAGGTGAAAGCAGCCCTCGAGGGATGAGTTTCAACACCCGAAACGACCACAAGTCTAATATGAGCGATCGATGGGTGTTTCAGAAGGGGCCCCTCAGGATTTTCAAGCCAGCTAGGTCGATGGTAGTGAGGGGTAACGCGAGAGCCAATCACATGAATATAGCGATGGATCCAAAGTCCTTACTACCAGCTGCCTGCCTGCGAACCACCGTCGATTGAGGCCAAGGGCACACTTAGCCGCAGCAGAGCCCGTGGTGAATCTCAACCAACAGTCCCCATTCTCAGAAGCCTCGTCGAGCCAACATCCTACTATCGTGCCAAACCGGACAGCCTCAGACCTGACCACAAAACTATGACCTGCGCATCGTGCCCAGTGGGGCCCTCACTTCACGTCGTTGGTGATCTCCTTGAAGAACTTCTCAGGTCCTCCCTCATGCATTAGCTGATCCCCCGCAGCCCAGAGGTTCCGCAGGATCAACACTCGACTGCCGGTCCCCGTGGCCGCCCCTGAGGCCGCTGAAGCCAAGTTAGAGGCCGGGAGTCGGCTAGCAGACTTCATGAGGAGAGAACTGCCTTCAGATATGGGCTCTCGGACCATGGCCCGCATGAGCCTAGCTCGGGAGAGGTTGTCCTTGAGGAGGCCCGTGTGAGTTGATGGACCCTCCTCGTTATCTTCCACAAGGTCAAGATCAGTGTTTGGGCCCACGACCACCGAGGACCTGACCATGGACCGTAGAGCACCTCCTATTTAGCGCCATTACGCCAATCCTGCCGATGCAGCCGATGTCGCCATACCAACCTTCAGCTCCTTGCCTCCTATCATCATCCCTGACAAAAGGACTCTGCCTCTACTCCCCATGACGCGGGACCTCACCACTGAGGCCCTTAAGGGCGCTCCTAGCATGATCGGAATCCCCATACTGCACGAAGGCATACGTTCCTCCTTCTCCCTGATTTCGAGGATGGCGGTCGACGAAGTCGAGTGGACCTGTTCCGCATACCGCTACCCCAGGCACCACAGACTACTACCAAATGGTTGGAACAGGGCTCGTAGGTCGTCCTCACTGAGGTCGGCCACAAGGTTCGCACTCCCACCGACGTAGAGCCTAGGGAAAATATACTGCCCAATACGATGCAAAAAGCCCCCCCCCCTTACCTGCATTCGTTGACCCTCTCGCCGGAAGGATTCAGAACGGCCTGAGTCGAGTTGAGGTTCTTCTCGGCCTGACTAGGCTGTATGTTAGCCCCATGGCCCAGCTTGGTCCATAAGGAGGTAGGCTCTATACCGAGGGCCTTCATAGCACTCTCCTGCTCCTCGAATTCTACATAAGCGATACCCTTAGACCTCTGAGAGCGGCCATCTCGAATGATCTGAACATCTCTCACTTTCCCAGCCATCTTGCTCATGAGGAGGTACACAGTGCGGTCGGATACATCCATGCCCAACTGCGCTATAAGGACCGTCCGAGACGCTCTAGACCGACTCTGGTGTTGATGCTCCCGCCTCAGGTCCTCTTCCTTACCCCTCTTCCGTGACCTGAGGTATTCCTCCTCATCCCTCGATCGCTTGGTCCTGCCCTCCCGACCATGGGCCATCGGAGGTGACCGACTACTTTCCCTCCTCGAATGCCTTGGACGGCTTCGTGAGCGGGAATGACTTGGAGAGCCCCTTCGACGTTGCTGCCGAAACTTGAGATGATGATGGTCTCTGCCCATGCCACGACGCGGGATATCTCCTCCATCATCACGGCGACCTTCATCTCTACGGCGCACCTCACGGTCCCCCTCATCACTACGACGCTCCTCACGGTCACCCTCATCACGACGACGCTCCTCACGGTCACCCTCATCACGACGACGGTCCTCACGGTCCCCTTCATCACGGCGACGGTCCTCACGGTCCCCTTCATCACGGCGACGGTCCTCGCGGTCCTCTTTATCACGACGTGGATCCTCATGGTCAGCATCATTAGAGCGAGACTTTTCACGGTCGCCACCATGTCGACGCGACCCTTCACGATCACGGTCATCTCGAGATCGGTCCGGACGGTTACCACGCCTTCCCCGATTTTCTCCATCTCGAGGTCCACCCGCATGACCACCATTTTGACTATCGTCTCGAGGTCGGTCCTCTCCATCACCATCAGCCCCACGGTCCTCTCGATGATCTCTTTCTTTATCACGAGGACTCTCGGTGGCGGGTTCACGTGGGCCAGGCCCAGGAGAGCGAGGCGGAGAGCCGTCCTCAGAAGTTGGCATAACAACAATACGCACTGAGAGTCATGCAACCATTGATAACTCTTACTCAACAGCCAAGGCTAGACATAACATCGGCGAACCGTGGGCGGGACTTCGATTTCCCCCATCAGCTCGACCCGAAACTGGTGACCCTGAGAATTGTCTCTTTCGATTAATATCAACTGGACAACCTGTGACACCGCTGGCAAGAACAGAAACTTGCCAGATGCACCACAAGCAGGATTGAACTCGTATCTGCCAGGGGAGAGAGTCCACCTGTTCTTTCATGGGGAAAGAAGACGTCATATAAAGGAGCTCCTAGTACAAGCGCGACCACATCATGATGAGCAAGGTGACTCTGTGATCAACATAGCATGGTGACGCAAGACTGAGATGTGCGAATAATGGTTGCCTGGCCCCGACCGTGGCTGTAAAACTCTTTGAGTTTCCCGTGGACCATCGTCGTGTCGGATCTAGAATTCACTTCTGGGTAGGTAGATTGCCCTCAAGCAATAGGAAGCAGAGTTCGTATAAGTCAAAGTGTTGAGCTTAATCAAAGGCGGCGAGTTTCAATGGCATTGAAACCGAAGGCACAAGACAGCCCTGAGTTCTTGTTGGGCCGTCTATATGAGTGATGTCAATCGAGCAAGAGGCTGTCCACGAAGGTATGTAGACCAAAGTACTGTGTGTCAGTGAAGTCATACTGAAAAGTCGAGCTCACATACATTCGGACTACCACGGCTTAATTCACTGTGAAACGTTTCGACGCGAACAGCATTTTTCCTAACCGCGGTTCGAATCCCACAAGTGGGATTTTTCCCTCATTTTTTCTTCGCCACGCGTTATTCCTTTGTTGAACACGGTTCCAGACGATCATTATCAAGTTTCGCAGGCTCAGCACTGTTTGTGTTCAAACATGGTGACCACCCCCGATGGTCGTGAGGCCCCAACACGCTCTCCAAGTGTATGGATCTCCGACAGTGTGTTACGGACAGGGACGAGATTAGAGATCCAGGGGGCTTCTAAGCATGCCCCTAGGGGTGTCGGTCACACTCGAATTGATGAGAAGGTCGGTGTGCCCATAGCCGTTCGACTGCTAAGGTCCAGTGTCCGCCTCCATGCACGCGGCAATGAGCAGGACTTGGTTGGCATCCTCGAGGTCGGCAGCTCATCCATCATTCCTGACAGACCGTAGTGAGCTCAGGTTGTCACTCGTCTCTTCGACCACTGGCCCGAGCTTGACGTGATTGGCTCAGTAGAACTAGCCTCTCGTCAGCTTGTACCAGAACTCGTCAAGGCGGGAGGCATCTCCACAGCCATCCAGAGGAAAGTAACCATCAGTGGTCACACCTACTCCCCTCATCTCCTCACAGGTTCAAAAGATATTCTCCACGTTACTCGACCGGACCGCCTTGGATCAACCGCTAAGTCACAAGTCGGAGAAGCTATGGTCCATTGCTCTTTCGAAAGTAGGGGAGCCTCAGTACTGTCCATCTTTACATGATCACAGGTTTGCGATGCGGCTCGTCACAGTAGACCTGAGGACCGTCACTGTGCTGTGCAACTCATCCTCGATACCCTCCGTGCCGTCAATAGACTTCCCAAGCCGTTCATTGATAACGTTCTGAAGGCGTGGCTTACCGACGATGCCCTGCCAGCCCTGCTTGCGGCGTGTGATGGAGTCGACACCAAAAGTACTGTTATCATTCCCAACCTGGTGCCACAGATTAGCCATCCCTCAGATACGGCTCTCCACACCGCCGTTGCTGAGACACTCGCTATAGTCCGGGAGAAGATCGGCAGTAGTACGTTTGAGGACCTCTCCGCCCTGTACAGTATCCCCAAGGTGGTCCTCCGCAAAGAAAGCATGTCTGGCCCTCCCAGCCGAGCTCGCTACCTCCTAGGGACCGGCTCGTCCCTCACCGACCGTATGGCTGTTGCTGCTCTACCACAGTACAGCGGGGCCAAGTGTCATCCTAGCGTATTCCGCAACATAGGTCATGCCATCATGGGCGTACCATCGCAAGACCAGCCGTACATGGTCTTAGCTCCCAACCATAGACCACCTCCTGGTGCCCTGGGAATAGCGAGCCGGGCCAGCACTCGTCCTGGTAGCGGCATCGGAGTGTTTGCCCAAGAATCACCTGTTGCTGGTCGGCCGCGACTCCCTAGTAGGAGAGGACTGAGTGCTGGAGACCACGGACTGGGTGGTCTGCATTGCGGAGGCATTCCTCCGTTCTCGAGATCTCGGACCAGACCCCGGCGCCGAGAGAGGCCAGCGGCTGGCCTTACTGGAGGCGAGAAGAGCCTTTTGGAGACTATCAAGGACAGCGATGGTGGAGCCAGTAGTGAGCGCTCAACGGCGAGGGACATCAAAGGGGTTGCATGAGGTTCTCTTGAATGCTCTACTTGTTTGCCATGTGTGTCTTACCAGTCGTAATCACCACCAGCCTCATGGTTGCGTTACGTAGTAGTAGTAAATTCGGTAGCATTACCAGAGAACTCGGCCGGTGGTCGACTTGAATTTAGCGGCTGCAGACCGCAAAAACAGGGCTTGTAAGTACGACTGATCTGGTTGTCATCTTGGTTCAGGCCTCGCAGTCAACTACGATGATTGGGAGGCTCCTCTGCTACACACATATGATAAAGAAAGTCTCCTTCTCTCGGAGGGCATTTCCATTCTCTCTATGTTGTGTTATCAGAGGTAGTGCGCGGTTCTCGACTGAGCATGTGTAGGGTCCTGTTGGCGGCCCTAGAGGGCGCTGTGACCAGTATCCTTTTCTCCATGCCTCATGGCGAGGGAGGTCATCATCGCTCACTCACCCGTGGTGAGTACTTCGGCTATGAATCATCTCACGGGTCGTACTCAGGCGGCCCAATGGCTGTTACCATAGAGCGCCAGCAGTCTGGCCGTGGCCCTCCTAAAGTGGAGAAGTTCTCGGATGCCTCAGTCGCCATACTTGTGGCTGAGAAGGTCTCCTCTGCCCGCATCGAATATGGTCCAGTGGTTCGGCAGATACTCCGCGTGTCGGGGGATAAAAAACTCCGGGACAAGAACCGAGATTTCCTCCTCGCCTCC